TGCCAACGGTTAATAGTTTTTAGTCCTTTGTCCCACTTCACCGTGAACTTATTTGTCCCATCATCTGATTCAATCTCCGCAGCTCCACTTAAGAACATTTGCACCACTCTGAAGGGTCCTGTCCATCGGGACTTCAACTTACCCGGAAACAATCTCAATCTCGAGTTGTATAACAACACTAGATCTCTGGGGTTGAAGTTCCGATCCAAGATGTGCTTATCATGCATTAGTTTCATCCTTTCCTTGTATAGTCTAGCACTTTCAAATGCCTGGAACCTGAATTCCTCGAGCTCATGTAACCCAGTGATTCTGCTGGTGCCTGCGGTCTCCATATCCAAATTCAACTGCCGCAATGCCCAAAGTACTTTATGTTCGAGCTCTACCAGAAGGTGGCATGCCTTTCCAAATACCAACTTCTACGGTGACATACCAATTGGAGTTTTGAATGCTGCGCAGTACGCCCACAATGCATCATCCAGCTTCTTCGCCCAATCGGTCCTTGTTGCATTCATTGTTTTTGTAAGGACACTTTTAATCTCCCTATTTGACACTTCAAGTTGCCCGTTCGACTGTGGGTGATAAGGTGAGGCTACTTTGTGGTGAACTCCATACTTTTCCAACAGGCGTGTGAATGCTCTATTACAAAAATGGGTTCCACCATCACTAATTATAGCTCTCGGGGTGCCAAAACGTGTGAAGATGTTTTTTATTAGGAAACTTGTCACCCCTTTTGCATCATTGGTCGGGAGAGCCACCGCTTCGACCCACTTGGAGACATATTCAACCGCTACCAATATATATTTGTTACCGTACGAGCTGACGAACGGCCCCATAAAGTCGATACCCCACATGTCAAAAACCTCCACCTCTTGAATTGTAGTCATTGGCATCTCGTGATGACGAGAAATGTTGCCTGTCGTTTGGCATTCATCACAACTTTTGACCCAAGCGTGGGCATCCTTGAACAGAGTTGGCCAATACAAACCCGATTCCAACACCTTAGCTGCTGTCCGAATTCCTCTAAAGTGTCCACCATATGGTGAAGCATGGCAAGCCTGCAAAACAGAATGTTGATCTTTCTCGGGGATACACCTCCGGATCATGTTATCTACACATATTTTAAGCAGTAGAGGTTCATCCCAATAATAATGCCGACAATCACGAAAGAACTTTTTCTTTTGAACTGAAGAGAGTTCATAAGGTACAGTACCGCTTGCTAAATAATTAGCAATATCAGCATACCATGGCGCCTCCTCCACTGTCATAGCAAGTAACTGTTCATCCGGGAATGTCTTTGTGATATCTTCAACCTCCATTCTCTTTTCTGCTCCTTCCAACCTCGAGAGGTGGTCTGCCACTTGATTGTCCGTCCTCTTTCTGTCGCGAATTTCTAGATCGAATTCTTGTAGCAATAGAACCCAGTGAATCAAGCGTGGCTTTGACTCCTTCTTTGCTATCAAGTACCTAATTGCTGCATGGTCAGTATAAACAATAACTTTTGAGCCAATCAAGTACGACCTGAATTTGTCGAAGGCAAACACTACAACGAGCATTTCCTTTTCCGTGATAGTGTAATTAAGTTGTGCACCACTGAGTGCCCTACTTGCATAGTAAATCGGGTGCATCATCTTGTCTTTTCGTTGCCCTAAGACTGCTTCTATAGCATAATCACTGGCATCGCACATGAGCTCGAATGGTTGCTCCCAGTTGGGTGCAACAATGATGGGTGCGGTCACCAGTTTCTTTTTCAGATCCTCAAAGGCCAACCTGCAATCATCAGAAAATACAAACGGGTTAGGTCGTTTTTACTAAGCAGCTTACATAAGGGGTTAGGCAATCTTGGAAAAACTACCTTAACTGAACCG